CAAAAAAAATTTCTTAAATTTTTGTTTTTCAAAAAATATAATATTTATCCTGAACGTCGCTGCGATTACGATTTCTTACTAGAACAATTTGCATTCGTTAGCTTGAAAAACGACGAAAAATAGCTGACATGATATTTGCATATAAATTAATAAATAATCAAATAGATTCGGCGTCCCTTTTATCCACACTGAGTTTCAACATACCCCGCATCTCTTCAAGATCAAACCTGACTTTCCGAATCGATGTTCCAAATTCACAACATCACCTCAATAGTCCAATCACATCTATGTGTAGAAGCCTAAATAATGTGCCATCTGTCGATATATTTTTTTCAAATCTAACCCAGTTCAGAAAGCGTACACTCTTATTCCGAACTAGTTATATATTTTCATTTGTTCACCTACATTGGTTCATTGAGATTATTATTCTTATCATTACTATCATTATTATATTATACTCCTGTAATTGGCTCCGGCCTGTTGGATGTATTATGTATAAATAAATAAATGAATAAATAAATGAATAAAGATAGTGCATTTTTGGTGTATCTCTCGCTCCAGCAAAATTCAGGATCCTTACCCAACGATTACGTAAGATACAGGTGTGTTTCCATTAGAAGTGGGTCACACTGTATAAATGATATATATTTATTGAAAAAATATAGATCATTTCATATGCAGAAAAAAATCCCGAGCCCTGTATCTTGTTGATATGAAGAAAAGGTGAGCACAGATTAAAAAAAATTGTGAAAAAATATTTCAGAAATGTTTTTGAATAACAAGAATATGTTGAGAATTACGAGGATGAAGGGAAGTGACGCATTTAAGTGGGACACCCTGTACAGAAACATGATAATATAGCCTGCGCGTATGTGATTCTGATCCTCTGAGACCGTAAGTAAATAATATGAGTTGGGCAAATCAAAAATAGGTTAATTAATTGAGAATTTTGTGGAAAAACAAGGAATATTCTTGAACTAGATATAGGAAGACCGATTAGGAAATAGGACTTCCCCTTTAAAAGTGTCCAATTTGGCCCACCCGTTTATTTATTGGAAAGTTGAACTCTGCCTTTGTCTTTTCTTCTTATAATGAGACAATGAAAACATTTATTATCATTTCTAGTATCACTATGTATAGTCAGATGCAAATAAAATGTTAATTCGAATTGAAAATTATTGTCAGTCGCGATTCCAAGTATTTTGAAAAAATAAAGTTGTTGACGTTTTACGCCTTCGTATTTAGCAATATTACTGTTCAAATAATTGGTGAATTCGATTTTGGTGTACTACTACGCACAGCTAGAATTGAAAATATGGCGAAGTCGCATAAAAGCAAAAAACATAACTACTGTCATACCTGATTCTGCCCGGTTTCATAAAATATCTGAATTTTTAATATCTACTTAGGTTCTTCGTTTTAAAACATTATTTTGAGTTGAAAGATTTTGCTGTGTACGAACACATCAGATGGCTAGCTCATTAATTGTATATGGTATAAGTATTGTCTATCTATCTATAGCTCATAGTTGATATTATTGCCAGTTGTGGAGTTGACTTTTGAAAATCTTCATCAATAGTCTAAGAGCCAGCGATCGGAAGACTACGAGGATAAAGGGGAGTGACACATTCAAGTGGGACACACTGTACAAAAACATGATAATATAGCCTGCGCCTCATGTAATTCTAATCCTCTGAGACCGTAAGTACATTATATCGAATCGAAGTTAGGTTAATTAATTGAGAATTTTAATTAAATCTTTCAGTTATTGAATTCTTTTACATTCCAATGCCCTGTATTCAAGTTATGATGCATCTTTGGAGGTTCATTTAGACATTCAGAAGAGTCCCATCATTGTCATGGTCTCTATATCACCTCTCAGAATTGCTGAACAAAAATACGGACCACACCCTGTAGCACATCCAATACTAGTTCGAAAGCTTTAGAAATACTTGCTACTAAAGCGGGTTGCCATTCAAAACGGAAACCTAACAAAAAATGACCCAACATTCACAAACGAGCAAAATGAAGTTATACGTCTTGACGAAGTTAAACTGGTTTCCTCGATTCTCTGAATTACGGACGTAACTTTTCTTTACCTTTGTAATAAGACTGGACTCGGCTACTTCGGCAATCTTGGACATTTCCCGGATGCAGGAAAGACCGAATACGTTTTCGTTTACTCGGGCACTGTGGAATACCTCACCGATGCAATGCTATTATTTTTTCCTAGCTAGGTACATCGAATATCAAATTGTCTGAAAGTTGATATTCGATGCTAGGAATATGTATGTAAACACGTATTTTAGTCACAGTCAATTTTATATGACATATTTTATTTAACCCTCGTTTATTTGACTCACTGTTATTCTAAACGTACTAAAATTACTGTATTGTATTGTTCTAATATTTCATGTATCTATTTGAGGATGTTTAAATCCAATTCATTTCAGTTTTACACTAGGTATCCTATCCTATCCAGAGTGTGTTCATTCACAACTGTTTGAACTGGAGTGTTGTCTATCAACAGTTTCTAGCTGCAAATCAGTTGTTTGAGATCTCCATCGATATAATTGAGTCTCGGAAGTTGAACACTTAGCTGAAATACATTATTAGGTCAGGTGATAGTCGGTCTTGTGAGTCATTTATCACAGCGTGTGAGAGAGACTTTGCGCTATTCTAGCATCGGTTCCCTGGATCCAGGGGGAAAGGTCATGACTCCCATGAACCCCATGGCCCCCCTGGATCCACGTTTGGTTCAGGTGATGGTTTCTGACAAAAAGATAGTTTTGAGTTCTTGATTTGTATTCAATTTTTCCTGAATATATACGAATGGAACATAACTATTAGGTTGGTTGTATAATCCTGCTGTTCCAAAGGTCTTTCGAGTTATCATGCAGACATTACAGTGCTAGCAAAAGGTGTACAAATATGTACCAATAATTATTGTCAATCCCTTCATTGCTATTCTGTATAGATGTTTCAAATGCTGTATATCGATTTGATTCCATGAGTGTATAATTTCGATAGTATCAGACCAAATATGATAGGAAGTGCATCCAATTTCTGTTAATTCAAAAACAAAATATAATTTTCCTCTGGAAATAACGATTCAGTATAAAATTACCTTTCCAACGATATGTCACAATCATACTTGCAATATCTACAATCTACTTACATAATTGCTATATTATATAAAAATTACTTTTTTGATTCCCCTCGTAACTTCTTGGGAAATTATCAAATTAAATATTTTGTTGCATCAAACTTTGCAGTTTCAATAATAATCCTAAACACATAGGAAGAATTTAATATCATGGCCAACTACTATGAAGTTAGAAGGTACAATACAATGTAAGTAGGTAGGCATGGAGATTATCTTCATCAAAACTAAAAAGGAAACAGAAAATTGTTTTTTACGCCGGCGGGAGTAAAAGTTAGTTTCTCTGGTAACAAAAGAGGGGCAGAAGTCTCGTATTATTCCCTAGGGAGATAATGTGACATATTTTCTCCCTAGGGAGTTTATACCAACTTTACATGCATACCTTTGCGCTTTCTTTTCGGAACACAGATTTCTAGATCTCACTGGTAGCAAGTTAAAAATCACTGCAGAAGCAGTATCAATAGTTTCTTGGGGTTTTTCCTCGATTTCTTGTTCCATAACCGTTAACCATTTTCGGAGCTGTTTTCATAAATTTTTGTTTGATATTTGCTGTCACCATGTTGTCATGATACGAATTCCACAAACTACACCAATACTAATTATGACAAAACACTTCGATAACATTTTTATTCTTTCTTCATTTTTGTGTTTTCGCCAGCGTAGTATACACCGTGTCCCAGCTAAAATGTCCCCCCTGTAAAAAATCAACCGCACGATCGAATGACTTGAAATTTGGTCACCCAGTATATTTGAAGATGCTCATTCAAAATATGCTATTGAATAAATCGTAGGTATACAGGGTCACACCAGAGTGCACACCAACTTCCTTATTTGTATAGGGACACCCAGTATATTATTCCATATTCAAGTAGAGTTCATTATTACAAATTCAACAATGCCGGGTTTGAAGGGATTTTTCCAAACGACTACGTAGATATGGCAAAAAATAAAACGATCCAATAAAAAATTTATATGATTAAATTTTATTAATATAACACGATTGAAATCGTATGATGGGTGTCCTGCACATAACTTCAGACCCGTAAAGGATTATCTTCGCCATCGGTTCGGAGAAAATCTAATCAATTGTCTCGATGGTGATAGCAACTGGTCAGCTTGGTCGCCAGACCTCAACCCACTTGATTTTTATTTGTAGGGCTACTTGAAACAATAGGTTTATGAGTCGCCAATTGTGAATATGAAAGAAATGAAAGATAAAATCACAAATTTATGCCCTCAAATTGATCGCAACTTGATACATAGGGTCAAAATGAATGTTATCAAAAGAGCTAGGAAATGTTTGCGAAAGAATGGACGACATATTGAGCAGTTTGAAATAAATTATTTTCTTTTCATTTGATTTCAATCGTAATATATTGATAAAATCGAATCATATACATTTTTTATTGAATCGTTTTATTTTTCGCCATATCTTCGTAGTCGTTTGAAAAAATGTGTAAGAACTTTAACATCAAATTATTGTCAGTCACATACTATTGTTTCATCATCCATACTACATCACTTTCATGAAACTATTTCGTTACGGGGGAAATACAGAAAGTATATTTTTGTGAAATCCCAATAACATGTCTGGTTTGTGAATTGAGAATATGGTTGTGATATATCGTTAGGAAGGTGATTTCTTACCGAATCGTTATATCCAGGAAAAAATTATACTTTGTATCCGAATTTAAAAAAATTGGATGAACTTCCGGACAAACCAGAAGTGTCATATTTCGTCTTCGACTCGGAATCATTTTCAAAATACCCATGAGCTCGAAGAAATTTCCGGAAATAATCTGACCTCTAGTGATATTACAAGTGAAAATTTTCTTACCTTTATAATGAGGCTGGACCCTGCAATGCCGGTAATTTTGGACATTTCCCGGATATACGGAAGGCCGTAAACGTTCACTCGTGCGCTATGGGAAATCTTGCCGACGCTATTGTGTGCCGTACATGTATACTCGCCGCCATCTTCTGCCTTTATATTGGATATGTTGACGTGGCTGATCACGTCGTCTTGGATGGTGACGTATTGACCTGTAATTATTGTAAGCAATATATTTCTTTATCTACTCACTGTCTCGGAAGTAGGTGTTTGCTCCCACATTTTAGGAAATAAAGCTGCCAATTCACCCCTACAGGAGGACAAGCATAAAGAATATCAAACCACGTGGTTAATATAAAGCCGGCTTTGTTGACATCAAGTAGTTGGAAAAAAGAAGAACTCATTCAGATCTTTGTTTTGTATTTAAGCTTCTCAATGGACTTATATCATGTCCGGAATTACTCGAAACAATTAACTTCAACGTTCCAAACAGAAATCTTAGACATAAACTGTTATTTCACTTACCATTCCATTTTACAAATTATGGCAAGCATGCACCCTTGGAAAGAACTCTGAAGTTATTGAACGAAAAGAACATCAATATATTTGGATTGTCGTACGATATGTTTAAAAAATCATTGAGTAGCTTGTAAGTAGAAGAGAGTGGCATTTGATTAGTTATCGAATTTATAGTGTTAGTTTCATAGAGTTTCTAGTCTCATCTATTTCATGTGTTCATGTGTTAACTAGTTAAAGCCATTGTTGGATATACGTTTTATGTACTTATGTGTCTGGTTCACTTGACTGTGTTATTTATATTTGTTGAAGTTATACTGTAATGGGGTTTATCCCGTGAATAAATAAATAAAAAAAAAAAAAAATATATCCACAAGAGCTATACAATCAAAGTATTGTTATGGGATTAACTTTTGCGAAATAGACTCGCGCCGCTGTTCTCGGGAGGATGGGACATGTTTCCGTGGAAATGAAAGAAGATTTCCGAAGAATTTCTGTTGTGAAAATGCTGAAACTATCTTAGGTCAGATATAAATTGCGGCAGGTAGCCAGATGGGATAGTATTAGCAGAGATAATACATACTCTAGACAAACACCCCTGTGTAGAAATTGTAAAAACTTCGATGGGACGAAAAAGACCGGCGGCTAATCGCCTGTGCTGATTCGTTGTAGATATATTAACAATGGAGTCGGTGAAATACACGGCATTATAAAGAATAGATGCAGAAAGCAAATTAACCACTGCTCTATTACGTCCCAACTGAGCGCTGCCGATTCTCACATTTACGCTGTCGCTCTAGAGTGTGTATGATCTTTGGTATTGGTCAGGAGTTGTTTGCTCACTAGACGCTATGTCTTCAATGGATTTTATGTGAGAATAAGAACAAGAATGATAATTTGTGAGATGGGTAGTAGATATAATAATCGGTAAGGCTGTTCGATTTGTCGTTTGTTGGGTGAGTTGCATAAACATTTGGAAGGCTCAAATAAGGAATCTGAATCAACTTTTTGATGAGACAGCTTGGAGTTTTGGAATCGAAGCTGAGCACCACCTTGAATAATTTTCTTCAATTTTGAATTCTTATACTTCTCGATAGTTTCATCTAATATACTCGCCTACTCCAAAATTTGATATTTTTCCGAAATATTAACGCTTGAAAAGTGATATTTTGTTGATTTCCAACCCAACAGAGCCTCTGATATATTGTTTTCATTATTGCTTTGGAAAAATATCGTTGTCGCGTTAACACCTTGATTTTTTTAAGCAAAATTGATTGAGACCAATAATAGAATTGATGATTGCGTTTAAAATTACGAAAATTTGACTTTTCGAACGTTAATATTTCGAAAAACATTCGAATTTAGGAATAGAGTGTATCAGATGAAACTGTGTAGAATTATGATGGTGTCAAAAATTGGATAAAACACGACGTGTTCCATTTAAATAAATTATTCGAGATGACGTCCAGCTGCAATTTTGAATCTTTAAGCTGGTAGTATTTCGATTAAAAAAGTAGGGTTTCATCTCTCATTTAAGCCTTCCTGATTCCGTTGTGATAGACCAAGTGGTTCAACACTTATTAGGGGGAGAACATATAACATGATTTTTTATTCATTAACTGAACTGAGAAGTCATTACCCCTCTTATCCAAGAACAAAACATTATCGACGCCTCTGACATATGGTTTTGACATCGATATATATTCCACTCATTTCGAAATACAGGTTATTGATTGGATGAAATTTCTGTGTAGATAATCGAACACATAATTTTTTGGTTTTTGTGTTTCGGCTATTGATTCGCAGCTAGATACCTGAATATGCTGTATTTTCAGTTTTGTATTCCGCTTCCCCATTGGTAGTTTGATCAAAATATAAAATTATTAACATATGCGCATGGATATTGGACGTCGTGATATTTTCATATACAGGGATAAATAGAACTCAATACTGAACTTCAGACATAATCGTCATAGCTACTGAATTTTAATTTGTATCGAAACATTTTAGACCAACTTTGTATCATCGAATTTTGAAGAAACATTATTTATATCAATATCAACGTAACCTCTCGTAACTCGATCTCTATGCTCTATCTACAGTTACAACTTGGAACTAACTTCTAGAAACAGGACGCATCAAATATCGCGAGCGAGCCGTTCGAAAGCAAGTCGGCCTCTGACGGAACGCGTGACAGTATTTGGTGCGTCCTGTCTCAAGTTGTTATCGATGTATAGTAGTTCCATAACGCACCGACTCCAAATGAAAATATGATATGGAATTATTGTTGTATTGATGAAATAATGAGTGGAATAATCTCAGCAAATACAACTCGCTCCATTGATGATTATCGAAAAACCTTACTCTTTTTCGAAACAAATTATGTTGATTTTTTAGGATTTTCTCTTCTCGTTTCTATAGAATGAAAATATTCGCATTATTTCAATATATTTGTAGGGGGACAAATCAGATAATTTGCTCCAAAATGTCACTGCGTTTAACAAATTTTTCTATCAGGGAGTCTAAACGAAAAATCCAGTAGCTTGTCAGTGACAATTTGTTTGAAAAAATGTTTGAAGGGAAGAAATATAGAGATATTGAAAAAATATCGAATTTTTACTTATCTTTGGACGTTTACCGAATCTGCTCCCGTTCTCAACATGTAAATGCAAAATATTTCTCTTTGAAAGTTGTGCTGCTCATAGTTTGACACTTTTCAGTGTCATACTGATGTTGGTATATGAATGAGTGATTTTAGTCTACAAATGAGTTAAAGGACCCAGAAGGATGTTTCCCAGCCCTGAGCTTGCATTCAATTCGACTCACCTACGAGGAAGCGGGGATGGTCGGGCACGGCGAACCCGTCCAGCGTCCAGGCGAACTGCGGCGGCGGGTTGCCCTGCGCGACGCACTTCAAGGACACCGTCGGACCTGGCTGCAGCGTCTGCTCGGCGAACCAGTAGACCAGCTCGGGCCCCGCGTCGCCCAGGTCCAGCTCAGCAGCCGCCTGCGCCTGGTCCCACCCGTTGCCTGCACGGAACAAAATGTTTGTTATGTCCTGGTTCCCACGAAAACGGATATCCTGTAATGTTCAGAGAACATCGTGAGAACCAAGGGAAATAAGGTAGGAATTGGTGTTCTTCCTGAATTTTTAAAGGTTATATGCCTCGGGGAACACCTCCCTAGGCAATGTGTTCTAGAGCCTCGTTGTTCGTTGGATGAACGAATCGTTGGAGAGATGTTTTGCAGGTCTCCAAAGTGACCAAGAAGGGGTGCCAAACCTCAACTCGACGGGTTAATCTCGCGGGAACTGTCAAGTGCCAAGGGAGGAACAATTGCTGATATTTCAGAGCATCGTCCATGAAAATATCTATAAAATAGAGCCAGATAGCCAACTTTTCTAGGGTATTCCAGAAAAGTGAGTGAATTTGTGAGCGAGGCACCACCCACGAGACGAATTGCCCTTTTTTGGACAGAATCCAACAGTTTCAGGGTATGTTTGGGTGCTGCACTCCAAATATGGAAACATTATTCCAGGACAGGTGGAATCAGTGCCTCATAGATCATAAGCAGCTGACTGGAAGTGAAATAGCTCCAAGCCCGAAACAGAAAACCAAGTTTTTGGGATGCACTTTTAGCAATTGATCTCATGTGATTTTCTCAAGAAAGGTTATTGCTGATAGTAATACCAAGCATCGAAATGGATGTCTTCAAAGGTATGGTTACTCCTGATAAGCTTATGTCGGGCACAGTGAGATCGGTTTTTCTAGAGAAAAGGCTGCTTGTGTTTTGTTTGCATTGAAGTCACCAAGTTATTGAATCCCCATTCGAGAATTGTTGCCAAGTCCATATTTATGTTGTCAACATTTCTCTCTCGTTTGTTTCTGATTTGCCTGGCTGGTATTGAAGCCCTGGAAGAGACGGCGGTATGGAGGGTACCATCATCCGCGAAGCTGTATACTGGACATGGAGTTGCTTCCAACAAATCGTTGATATGGAGTGGAAAGAGTGTTGGTGCTTGCATTGACCTTTGCGGAACACCAGCATTTATTATAAGACAGTCAGATGAAACTCCGTCGACCACCACATGGAGAGACCTGTTTGAGAGGAAACTAGCTAGCAGAAAACATAGCTGGCGAGGCGAGCCATAAAATGGAAGCTTGGCGAGGAGTCCGTGGTTCCAGACTCGATCGAATGCCTTGGAGATATCAAGTGCCACGGCTAAGGTCTCACCAGATATCTCGATATATTGCTGCCATATATGTGAGACGTAAGCGAGCAGGTCATCAGTTGATCTCTGATGACGAAAGCCATTTTGCCTATCGTTGATAATACCTGAATGTTCCAGGTATTTCATGAGCTCAAAAATGGCGGGTTATAACGACAATCCTACGGAGGTGTGTCATATACTCCTTATATGCAATTCTGATGTTCATTATACAGGTACCACTGATTCCCAGAAAAAAAAAGCTCTGGCCTCGCGTCGTCCAGGGTCAGCTCAGCGGCCGCCTGAGCCTGGTACCAACCGTTGTCCTACAGATGTGTATCATAATATACTACTCATGAGATTCTGATATTTATTATACAGGTGCCAATAATTCCCATCAGAAAAAAGCGAAAAATCTCGCACTCATATCATTTTCTACTGAAACAAATAACCCTCCTGAATCGATCGAAACCTCTAGCAGGTCACTAGGACGTATAGTTTTGGAGATATCGACAATCAAAGAGTGCTGAAGAAAGAGCAATTCACTTTCTTTAAGTAATTTAAACACCGACAGGTTATTGTGAAAAAAAATCGGATGTTTGTTCACATATTTCTGTTTTACACGTCTGAATAATCTTTTCAAAAATTCCTAGAATTTTGAACCAAGAGTTGAACATTTTCATTTCCGAAGTTGCAAGATTAGGTGCCAATATATCCCAGAAAAAAACAAAAAATCTTGCGAGAATCTCAGTTTCCAATTGATCAGGCCGCCCTGGATCGATTGAAACATTGAGCAGGTCGCTACGATTCACAGTTTTTGAGATATCGACGTTCAAAGTGAGCTCAAAAAAAAAAACAATTCACTCTCTTTTATTAATAATTGAAACACCAACAAGTTTGTTTGAAGAAATTTGGATGTTGATTCCCATATATTTGTTTCACACGTCCGAATCAATTCTCAATGAGCTAAATAATGTCTAGTAAATAACTCGAAATTAAAGTTCTTACACGAAATTACGGCAAAAATATCGCATATCCGTTCTACGCTTTCATAGTTATGTACCTCACGATGATTATGAAGTTTATGATTTTGAGTCTGAGTTTGTGACAGTAATGTTCCTATTGGTATATCATAATATTAAAAATCTCATTCCATAATTTCGTCATGAACTAATCATTGATATGGCAGCGGTTCCACAGATGTTCTCAGAAAATGATGTATTTGCAACAGTGGAAATAAGCAAATGATTTCAATAACTACAACAAATTACTTTGAGGGCTCACCTATGAGGCATTGGAACATGCCGCGATCCTCCTTGGTGAGGGAACGAATGGTGAGGCGCGCTGGAGAGGTGGACACTTCAAAGCGGTCATCTTGGGCCACTGGTTTGCCTTCAACAAAAAATGATATTGTGGGATCAATGTCATTACTACTTCAATCAGGAAAACCTTCATAATAACAAGATGGTTAAAAGATCAACATAGTTTTGTGATTTAGAACATTGACTAGAAGTATATGATTATTTTTCCAAATGCACCCCCCTATGTATTATTGCTTTCCCAAATGGGGAAGACCGCACTGAGGGATGAAAGCCATCCAAACCTTTTCCAATTGATGAATCATGATTCACAGTTATTGTACGATCAGTATTATAATTTAATGTTGAAGGGAATCGAATCTATAGGCAGGGGCGGATCCAGACGATGTTTGAGGGGGGGGGGCCATAGAAAGTCTCGGCTCAATAAGGTTAGCGCGGAAGAGAAATTATATGAGACAAATGCTTCTTCATTAAAAAAACTGATCATAGTAAACATCGAAATTACTGGTGTTATAAAATTTTCCATCAATGTATGTAGAATTCTGTATTAAATCATATTGGATAAAAGAAGTGAATGAAAAAATATTTCTGTTGAAAAACTTGGGTACAAAAGTGAATGAAAACATTTTTCTTCAAAAATAAAACAGATGAAACAGATGATATCATCAACATTCAGACTGCTGCAGATGCTTCTGGGAATATGCATTAATGCCAATCCATTTAACCAGTCTTGGACCATTCTGGATCTTATCCAATTTCTTAGCCTTCTGAGTGTTAAAAAACTTCTTTCAGAAGATGCAACACTTACAGGTAGGCAACAAAATAGTTCCAGAAGGATATTTATGTTAGGAAATAAATGTTTGTTACATTCCTTCAGGGCAGTTTAGTATATTTTGCTTAGTATCCCTCATTTTCTTCTATATATACATTTCAGAAACGATCTTCTGGAAGGTTTCATTATTCTCCCCGAAACTGTTCAAGTATATTTCCCATACCTCATAAATTTCCTCATCTGTTTTGTTTTTAGTTATTGAGATGACACACAAAGGTGAAGGTTGTATAGGTTCAATTCATTTTCTGATATTCCTTCTTTCAGATCAATAATAATACTGGAATGAAAACAGTTATTCTGTAATGGTCATCCACTGAGGAAACCGTATTTGGTCTTTGAACCATTCTCCCTGTTATTCTCGGCATCGAAAATTCAACATTCAGTTCTTTCAATTTCTGTTTGGCTGCATTCGAATTACTTAGATAGTAGGTATTTAGAATATCATCCCTTTTATCTGGAAGCGTCTGAAGAGTGATACTAATAACATCGTTAGCTTGTTTTCTGTTTGGAGCAAATTACTAAGTGGCAGTGTTATCGAAAATATATTTGCCAAACAGCAGAGTGTAATTACGAATTCGCAATTCCTTGAAGCTGTTGCCAAGTTTCTAGCTATAAAAACATACACTAATTTTCTCATTCATTCAAAATACCTACATTTTTACATGTCCATGAGGTGCTCGAGGGGGGGGGGGGGGCATGGCCCCATGCCCCCCCCCCTGGATCCGCCCCTTCAGGCGACTGAATTCAATATCGCAGCGCCAAAGTGGCTGGTTGTGGAACTATATGAAATTGTTTTGAAATGGTTCATTTGCTTGTGTGTATTACTTTGATTTTTTAAGCCCACTCACCGTTGTGCATCCAGCTGACCTGCGAGACCGGATACCCGCCGACGATGCACTGGAAGTTGGCGTCCTTGCCCACGTCCACTACCTGCACCTGCGGCTGAACGTGCACCGACAGCGGTGCCGTGATCTCCAGCGTGACGCGGACACTCTCCTCGCCGGCCGAGTTGTTGGCGAAGCACACGTAGACGCCTCTGTCCTCCAGGCGGACCTGGAAGCCGAACGACATTAACCACGTTTATACACGCAGAAATATAGGGCAGAGGAATTCACCACAATTTTGCAGTTGAAAAGTCTTGGCATAGTTTATAAGAAGTCAGTTGAGAAAGCCAACAAAAATTTTAATCTGCTGCATGTCGGCAAATCCTTTGACAAGCCGCAGGTCACAGCGGCAGGTGTTCGAAAATTACCTATATATCCATTTTGGAACATAGGAGTATCGAATATTGGTAAGTTTCCAGACCACCCATGAGGCACCCATGGCTGGTTACGTATTTTTAGTGGGTGTTCGCCAATAACCCTATCTTCCCACATTTGTAATATGAATATAAAATCAATAAATCAAAATTCTCAACAAAATAAAATATGAATATAACATCAAACTCAATAAGTTGAATGAACAAAATTGAATAAAAATAAAACATTGAGCTCGATGAAAATTCTCAATAAAATGAAATAAGAATGAAACATTGAACTATTAACTCTGTATATGGTGGTATAGCTTATTTTAGTTAATTCCTGTATTATCTTCTCAAGTTGATTTTCTGAAGAATCATTATTCTCGTCCTTTAGACGCGAATAGATATTCAAATCTACCCTTTGTGTTTAAACGTTCAAGTCTTTAATGGCGAACTCCGCTTGCTCTTCCTCCGAATCACTATCACTCACTTCGTTGTCTTCCTCAAAAGGCATTCAGAACACAAAACCACTATGATTGAAATAATACATTTACTGAATTTCGAGTTGAACCAATGAAGACAACCTACCTCGTACCGCATGCCTAACGCAGACTAGAAGATTCTTATCACACAGGAGGCCGCCCATGCAACTCTGACCAATCAACATTCAGTATAGTTTAGAGTAACCAATGAGCCGCGCTTTCGAGCATGACAACGCTTGTCAAGTCCACGTTGATTGCACAGGCTGCATACCGGGGAAGCTCAGTAGAAAATATCTCATTCATTCCTATTCCAATGTTAAGCAAGTCGATAAATCCTCGTATCGTCCTTAAAAACGGAAGTTTTTCAACTGATTTCGCACAGACGCATAAACTATACTCTTGAATGCGATCGAAGTATACAATACACCTCCACAATAAGTTAACTCTACCTCTCCAATAGTAAACGTGAACTTTAAAATGTGGTTAACCTTTTCAGTCATCGGGGAATGAAAATAACCGAAATTAACGTTATATTCAACTAAACTAATAACTTAAGTCCGACAGTTTAGAGTTTCCTATGATAGGTATCATGTTAATTTAAACTAGCTATTCCGTTGAGTATCACCGCCAATTTCTTTTTAATCCACCATATTCTCTAGGTGAAATGATTGTTGAGTTGATAACTGCATCCCTATAGTAATATCAACTAGCATAGATGGTGTGATCTATTATTGTGATTATTATATACTTACTATAGCGGCCCCCTTTTATTATAAAATAGTCAAAGAAGATTTGTCGACATTGGTGCTCTGTGGGCAAATTAGGCCCTTTAAACCGTCCCATATATATAATTGCCGTTGACCCAGTTTCTTGTACGATGCTGGGAAGTTTTCATGAAGTATGGATGCGACTTGGTTTACCTCCTGCATAATTGAGTTGGAGTTTGCAGTCTATGGAGACGTGGAAGGGGCAGTTTGTCTAGTTCAAACGCTTTCCTAGAACTGGTCGAGATGATGTACAGAGAATAATGAATGATGTTTTAGTATGTACGGCATCTAATCTATGGACCTGGTCGGTCGCAACTTCAGTAGAATATAGTGTAGAAACTCTCAATTGAAATCATCTGCAGTATGAGAACATGAACATCTTTTACACTTCAGCATGCAGTGAGAAATGATATCGAATTGAATCTCATATTTTCTGCTTACATCATCTGTTAATATTTTCGCAGTGAACAAAGCGAGTAGTGATCATTCTATTTGATCCAGGCCCCAGAGCCGTCCTTGCGGCAGACAGTTGAGATTCGTGTTGCGCCCAATGATGTTCCAGAATCAAGAATTAGCATAATTATCGTACGTTGGGAGAAAATTGTATTGCATTGAATCAAAATGTACTCAATTCGGAAAGTGACGCCAAAATTTGAAAATCAAATTCTGCTAATTAGGTACCTTCCGTAGAATGGGGTCAATAGAAACAGTGTTCTACTTCTCAGACTGTGTTGCTGACTTGATATTCACATTATTGATAGAGAAATATGAAAAATATGTGTCAGGGTTATTAGAATTGAGGGCATGACACGAAGTTTTGACAAATTTCACAGTTTTTTAACAAAAAATTGAAATGTGGTGATTTTCTATTCCCCTCTAGGCATGGCGAATGAAAACAGTGATTATTTCAGCACGTTATTCGTTTGTTAACCATGTGCGAATGGAAAAAAGTTTATTGATTAATTAAATTTGTTGTCAGCTCTAAATTTTAGAAAATGAGAACTTCAACATAAAAATAAAGATGTGCACATAATGTAATTCTAAATATTCAACAGGAAACAACTACTTTGTGATTTTTCTCAACAAATGCCCCATACTTGTCACCCCCAAGTTTCCATTCACCCTGTTTAACGGTACTGCAAACGTTCTGAATCACAATGATGATGACTCTTCCACTTTTCCATAACCAACTTGACATACTAACGACGATATGTCGCAATATTTTCAAAAAATATCAAAATGCAACTTGATAAAGGAAATTTTATCATCTTGTTTCAAAAGGGTGTTCAACAGTACGCAGTATGCTGGACCCAAACAAAAGGAGAATATACATATGAGCTGTTCCTATAGTTTATGAATTATACATAGTTAATTCTTTCTGAATCACAATTATTGCCGCTGTATGAATCACAATTGATGCAATTGACTAATTTGCTATTCAAGTAACACTTTCTGCAATTGAATTTTATTATCTGCATAACATATCGAACTTCCTGAATCATAATTGACAAATCTAAATTTCATCAAGGTACCTAAACTCTCCATAAAGTTGACCATAACGAGAAATATTGATAATACAGAGAGAAGGAAACTTCGTATGATTCGCAGACCGAATAATATGATCATTTGCCACTGAATTAACTCAAACGGTTTCAAACAACTTAATCTGTGTTATAGTAAGTTATAAGTGGTACGATATTATATGCATACGGCAAGTAGGAGTTGTGATTTATAGAGGGACTCGTATTCGGCCGA